AACTATGCATTCGAAAACAGGTCCGATGATGTGCGTAAGTAAACATTCTAATATTCTTAAATATTTATTGAAATGTTGGAGCTCATAAATCCCACATCACATCAATTAGTAAATTAATTTTACAGGATTCTAAATCCTGTAGTTTTCTCCCCGCACCCCTCGTGATAGAGTGAGATATCAAGAAATCCTACACCTCCAATGATGTTAGGGAGGTTGAAATGTTTCCTTTAATATTTTGAGGACTACGAAATCTATCTTTGGGACACCCGGGCTCTAAGGACCACGAAAGCTCCCATTTGATGTTCCTGAACATGGTATCGCGTGTTCAAGCTTAACGTGTGTTTCAGAATGCATTTGCGCCTGATGATTTCTTTGTTGCAAAATATTTTTAAAAAATGAATTTTTTATCGTGATGCAAGGGGGTAGAGGTTATTCCTACCCAGCAGTGGCACATTTATGGAGTTTTGGGTTCAATGTATGAATCCTCATAAATTCTTAGTGCATTATAAAAAGTTAGTACTATTTTTATATTAATATTAAAATTTTTAATTCTTAAATCATGTTTCATATCCCAGGTAAATCACAGCATTGTTTAACGTACATCAGAGGAAGAGATATATATTAATTTGTGTACATGAAGTGTGGAGTTAACTTCTGTAGCAGCTTTGTGTAGCGCTTAACGGGGATTTCCTGGAGTCGGAGTGGCGCTGTTTCTTCGCAGCTTGGCGGGCGGAGGTCCGGGGACGGCGGGGCAACACATTCAGCACATTAGAGGCCCTCCATCACCGCGGGCGTATCTGCGCGGCGTCCGCAGGGCGAGGCAAGGGGCCGGGTAAGGGGCGGAGGACGTGATAGGGAGAGGGACGAGGTAAGGGGCGCGGGCGAGGCAAAAAGCGCGGAGTCGGGCGAAGTAAGGTAAGGGGTAAGGAGGGGTAAGCGATGCAAGGGACACGGGAGGGGAAAGGAGCGCGGGATGGGGCGGGGCAAGGGGGTGTAGGGATCCGGGTAGTGGGCGGCCAGTGTGCGCGCCGCAACAGGCGTCCGCCGTCATTAGCAGCGCTCCTCTAACGGGCTGCTGGAAAGGCGGCGCGGTTCGGTCCCTCGACCGGGCGCGGCGACACGCTTTTATGCCCCTCGCACGTCGGGGGGCCTGGTGTCGCAGTGGAAGAGGTGTCTGTGGTGTTGTGGGGAGACGGCCTGGTGGGATTCAAGGCACTTGCTAAGGGCGCCTGCACACGAGCGTTGCGTCGACGCACGCCAAATAACCCGTGTCGTAGAATAACACTGTAACTCGGCACACTAGCGTTTTGGTCGTTCCGCATGAGATGAAGTGGTAATCTACGACGCGCGTTACTTATCCCGTGACAACGCAACGTTCGTGTGACAAAGGCGTAAAAGTGTAGCCACATACACTCTCGTCGTGTATTGTCGAAACATAAATATAAGGTTTGCTCAAGGAGGTTGATACTCTCACACTTCTTTCGCCTGAATTGATGATTACTTGTTTTCAAGTAATCAATAATCATTTCAAAAAGTTGTTGCTTTCAACAACTTTTTAAAATTGTTATTATCCGAAATGGAGATTCTGTTCGTGAACCCTTAAGTTTTATATGAATTATCCTTCTGACGACCTCCTAACTTTATTGGTGAAGATTTTACCTTAAATTATAACTATTAGATAATCACTTCAAAACTGCATGCTGGGCCACCGAGAAAATATTCAGATCAAACATATTCTTCGAAACTCGACTGTTAATAATGGCTCTTAATCCACTTTTTTTAGCTTGTGGCTTCTCAGAAAGTGCCATAAGACACATGCGCGTGACATTTAGGATTCATGTGACTCCTTGTGTTTCCTGGCCCTCCTTGAGTTTCATGATGCCCGGAGCGATATATCGGTTGCACCTCCCTCTCTCGGACTTGAGTACATGTGGTCTTAAACTACGTCTAGTGGTTTTTAGTGCTTCGTTATTCCATGTTCCTTAGTGCTTCCATTCCTTAGTGTTTCGTGTTATTCCATTAATAATTTGTTTCGATGTCACAATCTTAACAGTAATTAGGGAACAGGGGGGCTAGAGTGGACATTTTCCATTAAGAATGCTATAACTTAAAACCTTTCTTTAATTTAAAGAATTGACATTCTATGACTGCTGCGTACCTTGGTATTTCATCCTTACTTTTCTATACATGCAGTATTAATATTTTCCTCCTAATTTTAAATATACTTTTCCACGGTAGGGAGTAGAATTCAATTTCTAAGCCACCCAAAGCGAACATAAGTACATTTGCTTCCGAGTTTTTCATTATAAGCACAACAAAAATGATATAAATATGATGAACTTGACATTTTAACAAAAATACAAATAAATAGGGAAGACTGGGGCAGGCTGTTACAATTTTAGGTTTTTAAATTTTAAAGTGGCTGTGTTTAGTTTTCTTTTCTACTATTAATGTATCCCCTAATATGAACCTCTGGCTATATTTTCTCACAAATGGAAGGTCATCGCAGCATTTGGCTTGTCAGGAAAAAGTTCTGTCAGAGTGATTTTTTTTACACAACCTGCCCCGACCCCGGGTTGGTTGTCACAGACTTTGGGGTTGGTTGTCACGGGTTAGGTAAGGCGAAAAAACATATATTATTTGATACGGAAATATATTTGTATTAAAATATAAATCAATATATGATAATGATAAATCAATAATACCAATTTATACACAAAAATATTCATGTAAGGGAATATTTAAGAAAATGTTTGATATGAGTCTAGTCACACTCGAGCGCACTCTCACAATTTTGATATGAATAAAAGTTATTTGGTTTAGGGGTACATAATTCATGAGCCCACTTTTTACATGTGCTTTCAAACAAGAGATGAGCTGGGAACACAAACATTGCACCTAATCTCAATCTTTCTACACAATATCATTGTTCAGATGTTATTAAATAATAGTAAATAGTGACAACCAATCCGTGTGACAACCTGCCCCGGTCTCCCCTACATATTAATTACAAATATTCAGTTGCATTAACACTCCCACAGCTCGTAAAACTAATGTTAGTAATAATTTTACAGTCATAGCACATTATTTAATGTTAAAATCTTGTATTATGATTCATAAAAATTTGATTTTTGAAAATATGGCAAATAAATTCCACTTTAAAAATAATATCATATGGTTATACAGAAACAAATCACAAGTTTCGATTAAAAACATATTTATTAACATAAACATATTATTAATTATATGCTAGTGATGAGGAATGTTGCATGATTAAGCGGAAATTATAATTAAACAGTAAAACGTGCTCCAAGCAGGACGTCACGGGAAAATAATATTTTCCAGTTTTAAAGAAGATTCCGTTTTATACAATGTAATTCAGTAGAATTTGTGATTGGCAGGATTACGACTCATGTTCACATGAGACAGATTTCCGCATTATACACGTTCCGCATTGAGCAAGTTTCACAGCATTACTCTTTTAAACAAAGTACGTAAATAAGATATTCTTTTATGTTAATACTTTAATTCATTGAGGATTGCTTTAATATTTGGCATAGCGGGAGTATGTCGTACAGATGAGATGACAAACCTCAACATTGATGATATGAATACTTTATTTATTGTATTTTTATAGTAACTTTCATTGTGCTTATTAAACATCAATTTTCATTTACATTTTTTTGCAACATTAATTTTATTTTCAACATTTTTTCAATGTATCTCTCAGCCTTTGTTGAAGATTTCTAACCTCCGTGACGCTTTATAGCGGTAATATAAGCTTTTGTATCAAATAACAACATAGCAGAGAGTTTACGTAAGCAGTGGCCAGTGTAAGATTGAGAATTTCCCAGTTTCAAAGACGACGTTTGGGAATTTTCCGATTGTATTCTTTCCAACTGGCTAGCATGTGAATTTCCTACCTTGTAATAAATGAAAAAGTGAAAATCTATGATGATTAATATTCTGCCGCTGATGTAAGAAGAATTTTTGATACATGCCAACATCATCTTCCTTTCCAGTAACAACATATGTTTTTGTCGTTTTATTTTTCCGACTGTTTTATTTGCACTATTGCATGAGAACTCGTATCCTCATCGGACAAGGTACTCTTTTTCTTCTCCGAGATTTCTGATACAGTAGCTCTGAGAATGGCAGTAAATTCACGCTGGTGGATACCTGTGAAATCTCTAGGGAAGGGAAGGTCTGCATTTCGTCTCAAAGTATATCGTTATACGGAACGACACACCAACTGGCAACGTTTCATTTTAACTAACGAATACTAAGGCCATTGCGGTACCGAGAGAACATCATGGGTTGGGGTTCAACACCAGGCCTCAGAATAAATTGCAATATTTGAAGAATTTTTAAATATTTAAGAATGAATAATACATGTCTTTAGAAATTGACCAGAAACATTTTCTGCAATATTGTTTGAATTATCATCAGTTTTTAACGTATGGCAAGGTCATATTTACTTTGAACATGTTCTGTACTTGCGGACCTTTCCGCGAGTACACAGATAACGACGTTATTTTTTGAGGATTAGTTCAGCATTTATTATCTCTGGGGGTTCAGAAAGGTTGTAACAATAAAAGCCTTAAAGATGAAATAGTAACTCAGTAACTTACCCAGAAAAAACATAAAATTACCTAAAAAACGTTAAAAAACAACGTTCGCTCCCATCATTATCCCTGTCCGTTAACAGTAATAATGCACTTGTCCGCTGAGGTCGAAGACTTGGTGTTTTTCAGGTCTTTGAGCGACTAGACCAGTTCCATGGAATCTTTTGTCTGACTCGAATAAGGCATTTACGAATCAAATTCACACAGGACCCATTTGAATACTTGTATATCTATTATCAATATAATGCTTTTTGGCGGATTCAGTATTTTTGCGGTACTCTGCAGAGAGAGGGCATCATCAGTGGGAATTTCAAATGGGAACACAATCCAGTATCTCCCCGAAAGTCGATCAACTAGGTTCAGCGGCCATCGACCATGCAACAGAATAATGGCGACTGCGCCGCGCGCGCAGAAAGGGCTGCTCCTCCACCTCCCCCTCCTCCTCCTCCTCCTCCCCCTGCGCGCGGCGGCGCAGCTGCGCGTGCGAGTGGGGGCGGGGGCGGGGGCGGATATAAGCGGCGCGCGGGCGGCGGCGCGGCCAGTGGCTGCGGAGCGGAGGCGTTCGGCGGCGGCGGCGGCGGCGACGGGCCAGCAGCGATGAGCGCTTCGGGCAAGGGCCTGCTGGGCCTCTGGCTCTACCGCACGGGCGAGGGCTGGGCGCTGAAGGAGGCTCCGCCGCGTGCGCAGGTATTCGCCCTTACCCCGGTGCCCTGCAGACTCCCTCCCCTCAGGTAGCAGATCCGCTCTGGATCCATCTAGATAGTGGAAAGCGGCGCGTCTTGAGAACATGCAACGAAACCGGTCACTAGTTAAACCCACGATTCTCCAAATTCTTTCCGCCGCACGTCGCGCGAACTCATTGCCGTCGCGCTAGTGTTGCCCAGCGACAATGATGGATCTATGTGGTGATGGTGGTCTCTTAGTAAATTTTGCTGTTTGGGTGCTTCTTTGTTCCGTCGCGCACGTACTATTCGACATTACCTTCCTCCCGTCGTTAACAGTCTCGCTCATTTGCCGAGTTACTCACAAGGGGCGTATCTCAAGGACCAGGAGTAAAACATTTAAATTATTTTAGAGATAAATCATTAAAGACAGTTTTTTGAGAATCAAGAAACTCATAATTGAGAAACTTTCATTACGAAAAGTGTAATTTGATAGGCAACTGTTACATTGTATTAAATTCATTAAAAACTGCAAAATGTATCTTAAAATATACCACCAAAATCTACAATAATTCTTTTAATATTGGGTATTTAAATTTTGTTATTTGAAATCTAGATTAGCGAATGACTCCTTTTAAAGTAAATCACACGGTCACCTCATTGATTTGTTATGAATAAGTACACTATTAAAAAAAACTAAGTACCATTCAGAAAGAAGGATAGAAACAAAAATATGTCATAATGCCGTTGATTTAGACTTTTTTCTAAAATATTGTATCAATTTTAAATATATTTAGTAATTGCAGAAGATAATACAGCTGTATTTAATTGTTTCAAATAATTTTTCTATCATATTCAGAAATGTGTAAAATTATACATTCGTCCTCCATGATAACCTTTTAAATTTTTTTAAATCATGCAAATGTCTTGAAAGAGATGTTACTAATGCTGATTCTTTATACTTCTCTATTGTTTAATATCTGGAAATATCATTACAATCCCTTCGAAGGGTAAATAATTCTTAATGTTTTAATTAAAAGTAATTTTAAAAATATAATTTAAAAAAATTAATTCAAAAGTAAGTATTTTAGTAAAACATTTTTTTCGTGACGGGGGAAACTGTTGCCGGTAGATATTTTAGGGACTAATTGTAGTTACGTGTCAAACTTGAGGTTTTCCGTGATTAAACACGCAATTCCTAAGACGACTTAGATGCCGTTAACTTGATTGAGATTTCATTTGGTTTACTTAATATGTCTAAAAGACACCTTCTGACTCAGAATGAGTTCTCAAATAAGTTCTTTCCTCGTTTTTCTCTTTCAATAGAAAATGATAATTTATCAAGAACAAACACATTTCTACATTTAGAGATTTTATCTACAACCTTCGTTATTATAATTTTAATCTGGTTTTAAATAATAATTGTTTCTGAAAAATTCTACATTATTAATTTTGATGTGACCATTTCAAGGGAAAATGTTAAATGCAACGAGAAAAGTATGACAGTAGATTTAATTGGTGACAATTATAGAGAAAAAAGTAATGATATAAATTGCCTGGAAACATCCTTTATATTGAATATATTTAATACTTTTACAATTAATATAATTACAATTTTATTCAAATTACAAAGTAAAAACAATGTATTAATTTCATCTTCGATACATTAGGCATCTTCGCCATCTCTAGAATTATGTCTTATATAGGTCGAGTTTCTTTAGTCATTCTATTTTTATTGGCAAACAATTTCTTACATTATCAAACGCGCTTTATCTTTCAGCCATCTTTTATTCTTATTTCAATTCTATTGGAATTAAATTTATATAACTTAGAAACAGTTTGACCCTAATAATAATATTGGAAGAAGAGATATTCTGTTTCTTATATCTCTCAATTTTTATAATTTTATATGTCTAGTACGCCATCATTAACGTAATTTTACTTCTGCTGTATATTACTTTATGCTCGACATAAAATTGGTCGAATCTTGTTTATAAGATACATTGGGTGTATCTTCAATTCAATGTCATAAACCTGTTCAGTTATTTGTAAAAAAAATAGCGTATTTATCTTATATTTCATTTTTAGGAATAATATATGCACATGTGTATTCCTATTTCAAAAATTTAGGTAATTCATTTTGGAGACTCGAGTTACTAATACAACGTTACAATATTACGACTAAGCAGAAAATGTTTATTAAGATTGCTTTTTTCACAGAATGATTTGTAATGAAATACGCATTATTTTCTATCATTTATATGCCAGAGCACATACATGCATGTGGATGTTAGTACTTCCGATACTGTGATCATTCGTTTCTTTTTGTTCTTCTTTACGCCATGATTTAGACTGTGGTCTGGTCCGTCTTGCACATTGAATTAATCTCTTTTTAGGACTTTTTATTGGCCTTCTTCCGATTTGGTTTGTGAATGGGTGCAGTTCTATTCAGTCTTATGCCTTCAATATTGTTAACGTGCATAACCATCTAACGCATGTTTTATTTTCACACTTTCTAAAAATTTGCGATGGGCAGGTTACAGTTTTTTGCTGGAACTTCATTTCTTAACATTGCATTTTCTTTTGGTGTTGCGTTGTTAGCGAGCTTTCGCTGCTGTAGAGTAATTTTTTGAGGCCCTTATATTATGTAACGTAATTCTGGTATACTGTTGTCTGTATTTTTTAACATTTTACATTTTGATCCGCTGAATGGTTTCGTGTAGATTTCTTTGTACTTACGTATTTTAGCCCAAATAACTAAAATTTGAAACTTTTTACTACCAGTAACTGGCACTATTTTTGAGCTAACGGATTCTTTCCCTCGATACGCCATTTTCTGTTTCTTTTTGAAATGGTCACATCATAATGCTTACATTTTTCGTTTAGATGGTGTAGGGCTTACCGAAAATTATTTTCATTTTCTTACATTGTAACGGTAACGCCAGCACGAAGTAATGCAATTGAGGTATTATGTCGTTCACATTTTTTATTGATTTCCGATAAAGAATTTGTTGCAGTATGTTGAAGCCGTGCTTGGGAAATGTCTTTAATATTTGTGAATGTAAGATGAGAAAATCATTGACGTAGCGAACTAGAATGAAAACTGCGGAAGATAGACATGTGATATTTTGAGTAGTAGTTTCTATTACGATGCACGTACTCATTAGAAGCTATTTTTCGAAGGTTTTTTGTTGTTGATTTGTGTGTTTAATGCAATGCACAAGACACATAGACAATGCGACTGTCGTGGCAATGGTTTAGGCGGCGGACGTTTGAAATGGAACGAGGGGAAGAACAGTGAGGCCGGACGAATGGGGAGGATGGTTGAAAAGTTGGTTGGTTGGTAGTGATTCCGGACGCGTGAACTACTGAATCCTTTAGTACCGTAAGTGAAGTGCATACTTTTTCCTCTGGAGGTGGTGGCCAGGGCCCGGCAACTCTCCATCAAAATCGGGGACAAAGCTCGAGGTTGCTACTACAGGAAGCGCTAGTGTCGCCGGCTGCAGCTGCAGGTTAGGCTCGCCAACTTTCCCACATACAAATTGTCTAATTTGCGACAAATACGAAAAGTGTCTTCTAAATGTACAATTATTCATAATCTCTACTTGTCAGAAACCTCTGAATAAATCACGAACGTAGACGTTATCTTTTGTAGCATTATGGTTTTTCTTGCGACCCGCGAACTCACGCAGCAGTCACTCACGTTTTAAGTATCGTTGGCAGCAGTTCCTGTTTCAGTTCCTATAAAGGTGATGCAGCAGAGCGCGCCACCGTAATGGTCTCCACCACGTTATATGGGAGTTATAGGGCCCTGGTGGTGGCGATCTTCCGCCCGCTGGATGGCGAGATCCGGCGCCGACCTCTTGCACGACCGGCTGTCGGCTAGCGGGAGTACGATTTTCCCCAACAAGGTGTCTCCCACCTATGGGACGAGCTCTAAGCTTCAGACCGCTCTCCCGGTATGAGTCGTAGTGTAGTGCATGTTAGTGTGTGTGTAAGGGGTGAGGTTTGGACAAGGATGGAGAAGGAAAGATCGCGCGGGGTCCGTTGCGGTTGTTAGGGTACTGCTCTGGCATTCGCTTGGTGTTGATCGGACAAATCATGGAAAACTACCGATCAGAGCAGCCGGAATCTAGAATTCTCCTCCTGACAGTGCCTGTATTCCATCTAGCTGAAAAGTTAGTGTCTAAAATCTTGCCACTGTCGAGACTCGAACCTAGGTCGTCCCGGTCAGAGGTACTGCAGTGCCATCAGTTGATACACTGAGAAAGAGAATGAACGGGGCGGGGCAAGGAGGCAAAGGGAGACAAGGAGGGCGCGGCGTGTGTGGACGGGTCGAAGCGAATGTAACAGAGAGCGAGATGGAGCGAGGAAGGCTACCAATTGACCAAATGATATAATTAATCAGAAATATAATAAAAATGTGTTCTATTTAAAATCATCATATTCAAAGTCCAAGCCGGTGGGGTTTTCCTCATTAAGGATATCATCTAATACAACAACAACAACAACAACAATAATAATAATAATAATAATAATAATAATAATAATAATAATAATAATAATAATAATACTGTCTTTTTTAATGGCGAGGCTCAAGCCTTATGGTCTGCTCTTCCACCTAACCACTGCACATACACACAGGGTAGGAACATTTGAAGAGATGGAAGACAAGCTGTACATTTATGTCTGGGAGGGTGCAAAACTATGAACCATCCCGGAATACGTCTTAAGCGTTGAGTAAACCCAGAAAACCTCAATCAGTATCATCTTTTCATCTTCTTTTGAGTGTACCTGGACCTCGAGTTCCTATGCTGCGTAATGGAAGAGCTTCTTCGTTAGTATCTTAGTAGTCATTTGTTAATTACAATGAAATCATTTCTCTTTTCTCTCTTGAATGATCACATTAAGGTTGAACCTTTTGAATTGATTTCTGATGTCTTGGCTTCTTCTGTAATCTACTAGAAGATAAACCTATAACTGATTGCAAAGAATTTATTTTAGCTGCTTCTTCTATTCGAATGGTTCGTATGTTGATGTTTGCAGCCATATTCAAGTCCAAGAATTTTCCTCACCTTGTAAAATATCGTTTCTGTGTCTTTACTTACTTAATTTGTTATTAATATTTATTTATATTGTTATATGCATCTCGCAATTTTTTCTGGATGTCATTCTTATCATAGCGTTATTATTGTCAGAGTAGTGATATCCTGACATTTGTTCTAGTACGGTGTTAAGGTATTAAGATATTTATAATAACAACTATTTTACCGCAACAACTATTTTATGTCGCTTTCCCCACAAAAAATTGTTTGAGGCGATATTCTAAACTCATAATTTTGAAGTATATTTTGCGACGCATATGATCTCCCTTTCTAGTATACACATCATGAATTCATGAATGACATTTATTTTTCTCTTTATAATTTTAGCGTATATATTTTTTACTGTAATTGAAAGAGTTATTCCTACAAAGTTTCCACAATCTTCTTGTTTACTTTTTTTAAAATAAAGGGTATCATGCCCACCCTACCTTCTTCTGGAAATTTACTCGTATGTGAAAGCCAGACATTTGAAAGGTTCAGAAACGTTTCTATAATTTTTATTGAAACATATTTAAAAAGGTCTATATGGGCTCCGTCTATACCGAACTCTTTCTTGTTATTGAAACTTTCTAATATTGTGTCTAGCTCTTCTAGTTCAATTGGGTCTACACGTGATTGTTCAGGATTTTCTTAGTCTCTTCGTTGTAGACTGGTTGAAAAGTTGAATGGCATGTCAGCCATTCTTTTTCACTTATGATAGAAATTCAGGCGGTGTCTTCCTTATTTAAATGTTTCATTATTGTGTAGGACATATTTTGCGCATCGTGTAACATTGTTATCTATATCTGAGAGGCTCTTTTTTCAACTTGCCGGTTTTATTTTGTTAATTGAATAATTTCTTTTATAAACTAGTCAAACGCTAAAAAAATGTAGAAATGGAAGAATATCTTTTCAAAGGTGTACGTAAAATGCTTCCAACAAAATTTATTGATATATACTGAATTCTACGAAACATTAAAACACTCATCAAAACATTTAATTTGTTGCTCGACAGTTTTTTTATTTCCCTTGAAAACAGACGCTACCACTTTAATTTTCTAACCAATCTAACTTACTACGACACCTACTCTTTCCATTTAAAGTCAATAAATCAACGAAGTCCTAATGTCATATTATTATGAAATTGCGAAAACACGCATTTATGAACTAGTGTGCCTTTTGATCAAGGGGCACACAAGCAACCCTCGTTGCACGAATGTTTAACGGGCTTCATTACCGAAAACGAAAACATGGTAAATATATATACTTATCTAGCTTCATTCACTTTCTTGGACCGTGGAACGTTTGTTTCTGGATAAAGCGAGTCTATTTTGTAAAACATATAAACGATATATTCAGAGTGATTCAGTCTTCGTTGCCCATACAGGACCGGCGATAGAATATATTCCTTACGTTTTTCATGACTGCAAAAGGAAATAGTGTAAAACCTATTCAAATTGTTGAAAAAAGTGTTTTTGTCATTGGTCATTGTTTGCAAGAAAGGTAACCCAAATATTACATTAAATATGGTTCCCTGTTGCTATTGCTTTCTTATCTAACGACTATGAAAGGAGAGAGAAAAAAACTACGATTTAAGTGTTATTTAGGATAGCTTATCATATTTGCGTAAATAGCCGAAACTGCTCACTTTTATCTCGTAAAATAGGAGCTCTACCAGTGTTGAAAATGGCCCCCTCCTGGGTGAATAGGCATCTGTACCACGCGGTCTCCGTGACGAAGACGACTAGCCGAGTTGTTCTACCATTATCTCTGCCTCCACGCTTTCAATGCGACAAAGAAGGTCATCACGGCCCTCGACGTCGGTACCACATACGCGATGTTTCATTAACCCCCGCCCCAAAAGCGTTGACAGTACCTGAGTTATAAAATTCAGAAACTGAACGCCTCTTAAACGCTCGGGTAAGAAGCGAGGACCGAGGGTAAATTCATCTACAGTGCGAACCAACACTTGTACAGAGAATGAATCTTGGTGAGCTACACTACGTGCAAAATACAGATTTCCTCGACCCTCACATGCAAATTGTGCCAGTTCTTGTGAAATACGCTTCACCTGGCCAATAAACGAAATTCATGGTTTTCTGTGCATTTGCGCAGGAAATGCCAAACAATTGACACCCACGTTATAAATATCTCTCTCATATGTGTGTGTATGTGTGTGTGTGTGTGTGTGTGTGTGCGTGTGTGTGTGTATGTGTGTGTGTCGGGCACAAACATAAACGGCGGGCAATGGGAAGCAGGGAAAGCGGGAGGGGTGGGGGCAGACGCGCGGGCGTTGATGGCGAGAAACTCAAGGTGGTGCGATGTTTGGCGGAAGCTCGCAAAGCTGCAGCCTCTCAACTTCAAAGCGGCAACGGTTTTGTAGTCAGGATGGGAAAATAAGTGATGTGGAATATATACAATTATCTTTCACTTTCACGTATTTAACCGAGTTGAATTATTGGGTGAATGTTTGACACTTTCCGAAGATGATATGATGATTAAAATGAAAATCTCATTTGAAGCTCCATTTTTACTTTCTCGCACTTACTCTGTAAGAAGAATATGTAATCGTGCGCTGGAAAACAGCGAGTTTCAGAAGAAAACTTATTACCTGGCCCTGGTAGGGAAAACGTAGATAAATTCTGTTGCTTTACGTAGTAAATTACTTTCTCTAATTTGTAGTGTAACCAGAATCCATGTTTTGTGGACCCTTGATTAAAAATCAATTGACAGCAAAACGTCTATCTGTCCATTTGTTGTCCACAGATTTTTGAGGATTCTTTACATGAAGCCTCAAAAACACTATCACTTGTTTTTATCAAAAATTGGACCATTTTTTAAAAATTTAACTTAGCCCTCGGATAGCTTAAAGGTTGCTTAATACAAAGGCGAAGATCTCTAATTCGTTGGAAGATCTCATTTTTCAAAAATTGCGAAACTTTTTTTTCGGCGTCTTCCTACATCTATAGTGTTGAAAATAGAGATTTTTCCTTAATAAATCTGTACCTTTCGAAAATAAGAGTACTAACCTACTGACGGACTGACGAAGAGACAGACTTATTGCCGTCAATTGCATCCACAGAACGTCTCTCACAGTCTTTTACATACTTGTGGTATTTTTGCTCTCGTGATATTCACACAAAGAAGCTTTCTGAAAAGTAATTTATTTGAGAATGTACAAAAACGACTTTAATTCGTGTTTCAGTCTTCATGTTTAATCATAATGTGACATTGCTTCTATCTGGATCTAATTGTTTGGTAATTTATTAATGATATGCTTTATCAATATCTAATGTCCGATATCCGATTTGAAATAAGCATCACTTTTACTAAAACTTTTGAATTTTCAAAAATTAAAGTTTGGTAATTTTATAGATGCGTCTGGGCAGATGAACTTTCAAAGATCCCGGAGGCGAAGTGAATAATATACTCGGCAAAGAAATACATGTTCTAGAGTGCGAATTCAAGCTCGCGCAAGAAACGTTTGCGGGTTGAGATTAATCGTAAAGTTTTGGATAAATTCCCCAGTGAAGTTATTTGTCTCTCACTGTGAAAACTTGTATGAAACCAAGTAAAAATGTGAGAAATGTTCGTATGGTTCTGATCGTATTATAACATTAAGTAAAAGTATTAACAATAAGTGCATAGTCTGAGACTAAATATCTGCATGAACCTTTTTAACTAATTTATACGTTGTATGAAAATGTTTATCTGAAAAATATTTTCTCCCCAGAATTTTAAATATTATAACAGGAGACTATATGGACCGAGTAATGCGTCCGTTAACGAGCAATCCAGAACGACCTTTTAAAACATTTCTTAGTTTCTCATTTTTTTATTCAAATGCAAAAAGTCTTTTTACAGGGTAAAAACGAAACACAAGTCTTTGGTAGTGATATTAAAGCTGTTTTCATTCACAATATTCGCAACCCGGTTATCTAATTCCTCTGACCTTGAACGTAAGCAACATTCTCACATTCAATCACCATAATAGAGTTAACGCTCTTTTTATCAAAACGTACGTTTGCGTAACTTACTACTAGGCAATTCCTTACGTTATGCGGTTTTTGGCCACCCACTGCTACAAGATATGGTGATATTTCAAGAGGCAATTTATTATTCACACCGACAGCTCTACAGGATTTGCGTATATCTATATATCTATCAATTATCTATCTATCATCTATCTATCATTTATGGTCATTGTTTACAGTCCTTGGCCTGTATTGTCCGCATCCCAATTCCATGCCTCTTATTCCCATTTACATGTTGTTCTGTGCATGTTCCTTTCTTTTCCATGTCTCAGTTATGCCATGTTCCATGTTTTTCTCAGTCTTTCGCCCTGTATCTCTCTTCATTTTGTATCCACTTACCCAAACTTTTGAGAGAAGTCTATCCGATTTCAACCCTTTCATATGTCCATACCATTCTTAGTTTCTCATATTCGATCCGTCTCGGTTCTAGGTTGTTTGCACTTTCATTTTATTTCTTATTTCATCATTTTTTTTTATCTATCACAGGAGAAATTAATAGCTAAGTAATCGTTCGCCAGGAACATCATTTCTCGCTGAATTGAAATTTGTCTTTCATTTTTTTGATAGTGTCCAGACTTTCTGCCCCTAGAGTGTCTGTACACTCTATGAAGGAGCTATATATGCATTTCTTTGTCTTCATTGAAATAATTGAGTTCCATAGCACTGGGTTAAATTGCCTTGTGGCTATTTTTCCTCTTATATTTTTATTTTTCACATCCTGTTCGTCTATTGCTATAATATCATTTAATTACAATACATCTAAGTACTATAATATCATTTCTGAATATCTAACATAGCGAGTTTTTGCAAGAGGCTGAAGGGAAGCCCTTTGTTGTGTTGCAGCCGCCAGTCAGCGTGAGCACCTGCAGTTCCGGCGTAGGCGTCATGCCGGACCACCTGGGCAAAGACCTCAACTCGGTAGTCTTTTCCCTCAAGAACCAAGTGGGAGGTCTGGCGCGGGCTCTTCAGGTGTTTCAGGTAAGTTGCTTGCACTAACGCGTCGAGCGCCTGTATGATGAGTTGTCCCCTTTTCCGATGTCACAGCTGCACTAGGGTGTGCATTTAACATTGTAGTGAGTCTGTGTATAATGTCATGCGCATATATATCAGACCACAGAAATATTTCTCTATCTCCACACTCCATTGTGTGAATAAATAACAGAAAACCATAAGTAAGGATTGAAGATAATGTTTAAACATTAATAATCAACATTTGTCATGAAGTCAAAGATTCTTGCCACTCAGTTTCAAACTAACCATCACATTAAAATTCTACCAACTGTAATAAAATTTCGCCACATCAAATAAATTTGAACTTTTAATGCAGTAAAGTTTTTTTTATCAATGACTGTCTTGTGTTTTCACATGTTAGTCGGAAATAAAGAATTACTAATTTTAAAACTATTAGATCATTTGAAAGAATAGTATATACAGTTTGAAAGTATTATTTTTGTAAATATGACCATTACAATATTCTTTAAGAGCCCCACTTATCAAAATCTTACCACATGTCAATGTTTGAGCCTACAAACTCATGATATTTAATGAAAAAGTTTGCATTTTACACATTCCGTATGTTGGTTATGGTTAAATTACATGTGAATGAATACACACAAATGTATTGAGCTCGTTTCTTATGTGGTACGCATGTTATTGGAAAATAAATAATAATGTTCAGAATATAAAATAATAGACATGTCATTTTCAACCCCCAAAAATATTAAATAATTTAGAGTCAATATATTGAAATATAAACAGCGTGAGAAGGCTTTAGATTTTTTTGTTATTTTGTATATACAGGAAGATGACGTTAGAGGTTTCTTTAAATACATGAAATAAATTTCAGTTATTAGTAGGAATGACAGTTACTTTACACACAAAAATAATGTCCAGTAACTTCAACTTTCCTTTGTTGTTCACATAATTAGTAATGGAAATTGTAGAATAATAATTTTAAGATTTAATCTTAAAAATAATTATTCTTTTTACGGTAGTACATTAATTACGCTTGAGATTTTTGACTTTTGTATTCTTCTTTAATGTATTTATTTAGATTCTTTCTATAGCCTTTTATTATAGCATAAAAATAAATCAAGTAAAGAAAAATGAATATACCAAATAAGTAAAACGACGAAGGAAATATTCTGTGAAGATAATAATAATAATAATAATAATAATAACAATAAAAAGAAGAAGAAGAAGAAGACGAAAGATAATTATTACCAAAAATAAACGGGAATTGAAGAAAAATGAAAGAATTGCAAATTGAATAGTACGTTATGAATCGCGAATTACTAAATTAATGTTATAATGAATCAACGGAAGAAAGACGATGAAGAGAAGAGCAACGAAAAATTATCAGAGAATGCGGGAAGAGAAGCGGTGAAGGGGAAACGATAAAGATGTTCATGTTTCTAAAACGCGAAATGATGACAGGGTAAACTCCAAGGCTTCGGAATCAAGAAACAAATTCCGAGGAAGTTAAGCGCTTGTCTTTAACGACACTAGGCAGTAAACGGGTCATCGCGGCCGGCGCTTCTCGGGGAACAAACGCCGCGCGGGCCGAGCGGCGTCGCTCAAGCGTCAATATCCGCGCGCCATTACCCGCCTGCGTCCTCGCGGCGAACGCAGCGACGCGTCGGCGGCGCCTGTGTTAAAGACGCGTCGTTACGACGTCCCCTCCTCCCCGTCCGCACAAAGGCGCGCGACGAGATAGCGGCGGCCGTATGACGGCCATCGCCCGCCCACGCGCGCGCCGACGAATTAGCAGCGCCCGCTCACGCACCCGCCCACGCGCGCGCGGCAGCGGCCGGCGAGCCTCTGCCCACCACTTGCCGCCTCGGAATCGCCGCCCCAGCCCCACGCAACGCAAACCGCTGCACGCACGCCAGGCAGCGGCCAGCGTGCCACCCGGCCCACAGAGCGCCCATCGCTCGCCACGCACCCCCCATTCGCGCCCTGGCAGCGGATGGCGAGCCACCGCCCAACACGCGCCCATCGCACGCCCACGCATCCGTCCACGCGCGCCGGCAACAGCCAGCAAGATACCGTCCACACGCGCCCATCCGCCCGCGCACGCACCGCCGACGCCACGCCCGGCAGCGGCCGGCGTGCCACTGCCCACACGTGCCCATCGCCACGCCCACGCGCCCGCCCACGCGCCGCCCCCCCCCCACGCGCCCGCCCACGTGCCCTCCCACTGTGCCCACCTACGCGCGCTCGGCGGCGGCTGGCGAGCTACCGCCCACACGCGCCCATCGCCCGCCCACACACCCACACACGCGCGTTCGGCAGCGACCGACGAGCCACCGCCCACACGCGCCCATCGCCCGCCCACGCACCCGCCCACGCGCCTGCCCACGCACCCACACACGCGCGTTCGGCAGCTGCCGGCTGACAATCCTTACTTTCTTCTTTTCTCCCGACAGCCACAAACAAGTAACCTTGAGACGGATGACTTACTATGCGTCATCTCTAGAGTGGATGCTGAAGTGTCCTGCTTTAATTGATAAAACTAAAAGCTCTGGTGTAATATTATCCAGAGCTCCAATACTGGCACAACTAGAAAATCATAAATTTTCCATAATCGCCATTATTTTAAAACAGTTTATAATTATTATTTAAAGGAATTCTATAAATCCTATGACAATGCTTTCCTCGTAATTGCTCAATTAGTATGTGTGTGGTTTCTGCAATTCACGGCCAACAAAATCTTGAAACACGTTTTTCTCGAAACTTCATATTTAATTTGTGGAAATATATCAGCCTTTGACCGATACACACGAAGATTGTAACATTTTTTAAATTTATATTTCACCAATGTATAGTCAGTCTAATGGCTTCGTTCCATTTTTAAGTCAGCTTTTTTATTATTTGTCAGTTTGGTCTCTTCTGAAATTAATTCCTTATTGGGTTTTTGTTTATGTATATTTCTAACAACCTGCTGCACTTCAGTTGTTGGTAGATCATATGCTGTAGTGCTTAGCTATTAGGGTGACTGACACGAATTACCATAGATATATTACAACTAATTATTAAATATTTTACACCATTATATTTTAGACCTTTACAACATTACTAAAATATTTATTAGATTTTAGTAATGGTAAAAAATACTGTATTCCTCAATAACACCTTTTTCACTTTTTCTTATTTTTCTAGATAAATGTATAATACAATATTTTATTCTAGATTGACCCATATGGATATTTAATACTTTGTTAATTACTATTTTAAAGATGAAAAATAAATTTATCGGAAAGCAACTTTGAAAAGCCACGAAATAATTATAGAACTGGTCTTTCCGTAATATTCAGTCGGAACATTAAACATTCACCCAGTTCATTACTCCGCCTGTGTACCTACTCACCGTTCCCTCTCAGATGTTGATAGTCTAGATGCGATTTTCTTCCGTGGTTATGTGAAGCTACCAAACACGTTGCGTGTATTGTGATGACGTTACTTGTTGAAGGACGATATCCGCGGTCTTCTGAAGATCTATGTACTTGTAATTATTCTCTACGGATACGTATGGATACTATGTTTCTTATTGCCAATAAAAACTGCGCAGGTCCCATTTTCGTAGAACTATGAGTTTTCTATCATTGCAAAACGTTACATTAATCTTACGTAAAAGTGTGTGCATTGTAGCACTACGAGTTTTCCACATACTGAACATACGTAAATCCAATTTGATACTAGCTATATATTGAAAATATATCAAGATGAAGAGACGATTTGAATTAATTAAATGGGTTTGGTAACATAAGGTCCGTAGAATCCAGTAATTATCAAAGAGCAACAACGTCAAAACATTTGACTATGAGTCTAACATTATTAGCTGATATACAATCAAGAATTGTTTCCCATATCACCGATTAACTTATACACAAGTCGTCTTTAGGAATTTTTTTAATAGTTAGAAATATCAGGTACAATGATTTTGATTTATCTTTTTAAAACAGTGTGGTTTGTGAGATGCTTTAAAGTACTTAAAACATAATTAATATTAACGACACTCGAGAAAACGGCCGTTTCAGAAAACGTTAACGTTATTTATCTTTCCTTCTATGTCAAACGCGTGAAGACAAATGACTCGTAGACGCAATGAACGCATTCGGATATATTTCATGAGTTTATTTTAGACACTATCGTTAATTTGAATTCTAAATGTAATTCATTTATTTCGAAATATCTGTTTCTGAATACGAATGTTTAATAAGACAAACTGAGAACAAAGAGAATTTGTAAGAAAGATATTTTGAAGGCTTTCACAGCTTAGAATTTGGGGGCAAGAAAATTCAGGGACTCGCCGTAAATGTCGCTCAGTGATATCTTAACATTTCTGAACTTTAGGAGGAGGTACAGTGAATACTGAATGTTTATTTTTTATATTTTGTGGATTTTTAAAATATTTTATCGCTTTGTTTGACATCTGTTGAAATACTTATGGACAAAATATTTACATAGTGAGACAAATACGAAAATATTGTAAAACACATTCTTAAATATTTGTAAAGAAATACGTTTCTCAGTTACGTATTTATCGTAAAAAATAATGATGAGATGAGCTCTGTCGTTGTTAAAATAAACACATATTGTGTCTATTCATTGGGCATTTTGTAGTTAATACCGATTGCCAAAAGAATATTTGATAAATCATAACTATATACACTCAACATTGTGCTAGACAATGGGATCTGCACAAAACCATAGGTCTCTGAGACAATTCAAACATGAAGACTACGGACGAACATTGATATTTAGAGTGAAATTTAAATCTCACAAGCTATTCTCTGAGTCGGCATATAAGAACTAATCCCCACCCCTTATATTCCGCCATTTAGAGTGTCATCGTCGCTGGCGTTATTAGTCTGCGAGGTAATTTGTAACAATTAAAGACAAATTAGAAGTTTTGAAATAAAGACTTCAGTTGACAACATTAACTAGAGCGTCCGGCTCTGTAACTAAATTGGAAAAATATTGGACACATACGCTTGCTTAGGCAAAATTGTAATCTGATTCATTCGCCTAAAATGCTTAGTGGAAATAACGCAGGAATAAGCTGGGAACTAAAAAAATAATGCAATTTAGTTGGCTGACAAGAGATGGAATTTAGAATGAGTAATTACGTAACATTTGCGTTATTTGGAAACTTGCAGTGTTCTCTTCGTATATTTTTTATACTTTTGAGCTAATATTTTGTGCCCATTGTGTGCATTTTTTCTGTCATTTTTTAAAGAGGTTAAAACATGTAACTTTTAGTATAATACATAGCTGTTTGTGAAAATTGCAACACTAAGGAGACATAGTATTACAATAAAATTTATTCCACAGATGATTAGAATCTCACAATATCCAAATGATTAGAATTACATAAATGTACCTGAATTTTGACATTGAATATTTTAATATGTGTGAAGACGGAACGCGCTGCTATTAGAGCCTCGAAATGTCTTGTCTTGGATTTAAAGATAGTCTGGATATGCTGCTGAGGAACACTCTGCCACGCGGTTTCTACGCGTGACCACAAAGCATCGACAATGGCTGCAGGAGGACCAGAACGAACAAGTTGCCGACCGATCATATCCCAGACATGTTCGATAGGCGACATATCAGGCGAATGTGCAGGATAGGAAAGCAGTGGTACCAATCCTTCTTCGCAGAAAACTTCCACATTCCTCGCCACATGCGGTTGGGCATTGTTCTCCTGAAATATGGCATGTGGAGCTTCTTCCAGGAGGGGCAGTACCTCGGCTCTGAAATCTCCTTGATGCAGAGTTTGTACTGAACTGACCTGACACACAAAGAAGGGCGCTGATAAGTCAAGGAGCACGCCATCTCTATGGAACTTTAATATTTTCGTATGAATACACTGTTCTACACATCCACCGATTGTCAAGTGATTCCGACCATTTCTTCTGGTTCTTCGCAATTTTCACAAACACCAGTGTGTGTAAATAATGTTAAGAATTTAAACCCAAAATTGTTATGTTGTGACCAGCGCAGGGGCGAGCGCAGGGGCGAGCGCAGGGGCGAGCGCAGGGGCGAGCGCAGGGGCGAGCGCAGGGGCGAGAGCAGGGGCGAGCGCAGGGGCGAGCGCAGCGTGTGCAGCGGGGGCCTGGTGGGTTGCAGGATCTGGACGTGAACGTGCTGCACATCGAGTCGCGCGCGTCGTCCCGCCGGGACTCGGAGTTCGAGATCCTGGTGGACGTGCAGTGCGACGAGTCGCGCATGTCGCGCCTGGTGGCGGCGCTGCGGCGCGAGGTGGCCGCCATCAACCTGGCGCACTTCGAGGGCGGCGCCGCGCTGCCCCCGCCCACGCCGCTCTCCGCCGCCGCCTCCTTCGGTGAGCGCCAGGCGTTCCGCTCCTCCAAACACCTGCATGGTTCAAGATAAATGTTACAAACTTCTACGACACAAATGGGTCAAACGTGAAGTGAAGAATATTATAACGAAATTAGACACTTTTTTGATCGCACACCCCTGATTTATAGGCATCGCATCCTGTACAGGTGATTGACAAATACATTTATTTTCTGAAAAACACATGCCCTTTCGAAAAAAACGTAAGCTTGCCAAACATCATTTTTCGATGCTTTTCCTACAAATAAGGGACGTACTGTAATAAAGACAGGTGTTTAATTTCGTTAGGTTTATCACTATGTGTTTATCGGTATGTGTTCGTTGGTAAAAGGGGATTATTTTTACTCTCATACATGTACTAGAAGATTGTAACATTTATTCCAAACCACTTATGTAGCATTTTTGAAATGTTACATTTATGTAGCATTTTTGAAATGTTACATTTATGTAGCATTTATGCACCATTTTGTAGCATTTTGGATCTCACAACAAAGAGGAACTTGTAATTCAGGAAATTCATGCAGAAATGTTGTGCAAGTATTCGTATGTTAGCGATAAAGACAAATCTAACAAGATTAGCATGTTCCCAATGATTACATTAATGACGCAAAATAAACATTCGGAAATATACACACATTATATGAAAGGACGAAAATTACTCATAAAGAACGAATCAACTCCCTTAAATGATTCAAGTTCCTTTGTATTTGGATCTTAGACATGAGACCACTGCTTTCTCCATCCAGAAAATTGATTTAAAACGTTTATGGTAATATTTTAATAACTATGATAATTATTTCGTTTATGAATGAAGTGTGAGACTTAAGACACTACGACGAAAGAAAGTCAAGAAAGACTATTTGCAGAGGCAAAATTAAAAAAAAAACAATAATAAACTAGCGGATTGAGAAGAGATGGTTAATGATACTGTATAAAACAATTATATTTCGAACTCATCATGTTTCCGTGTTTTGAAAGGAATATATTCAGCATTATTGAAAATACTTTAAATGATGATTTAGTTTGGCATTTAAACTAGCATTTCTAAACTGCTTGAACAAATAGCAGTTCCAGGAAGTTAGTTTCTCTTCCTTGGTGTTCGTTGAAGAACCGCCTTGTCTCTCTCAGATTTCGGGGAGATGCCGTGGTTCCCGAGGAAGATTTCCGACCTAGACGACGCACAACGGGTGCTGATGTATGGCTCTGAATTGGACGCCGACCACCCGGTGAGTGCTCGTTGCAACTTTAATGCTTTTCTTCCTTTCTCACTGGGTTAGAGTATGTGTAATACACTTCCATTATTAATTTCTTATATCTTACCGCGTGTTCTTGTTCAATCCTCTGATGCTTGTATTGGTTTAGATTTTAAATATTTTGAAAATCCAATTAACATAGGGGTTTCCAGATTACACATTAAGTATCAGGTTATCTCACTTGAATTGCTTATTACTAGAACAATCATAAGAGAAGCTCCATGAAGTTGAGATACTTGCTGACTAGGCAGGTATTAAATTCGAGCGAAAACATTGGAATGTTTTCGAGGAAGAGAAATCTTGGTATGATGTTTAAACATAGACTACCTCATTTTCTTTTAATGAAAGATAACACACTTATTGAACGTTGCTCTAACATGTCTCTCGTCCGTGCACAAACTTTTGATTCCTCGAAGACCTCTAAATATACCTTATGATAGATGATTATGTTTGCGACCATTTTCTATCAGGTAAATTGTTTCGTTTTACGAGCAACAAGGATTTTAAAGCATCTAGAAAGCTGCCTAGCATGTGATACTGGAGTCACGCATGTATAATTTGTTTCCTAAACTTTGTTTGCAAAACTGTAGAAGTTTAGTTGTGATATTATATCTGAATAGTGAAATAAGTAATATTTTTGTAGATATTTTATTTTGTGTAACGCTTATTTCTTTTTGGATAACTTAAGGAATGAAAACAATCGTATTAGTATTTATGAAAGATGCTGGTGAGAAAACGAGAAACACTAAAAACGTTTATAGTTTCCTCTTTTTTTATTTTACGATATGTGCTACAAAATTGAATAATATTATTGATTAAAAGGAGTTTGGAATACAATTATATTATTGATTAGAAGGATTTAAAGGATATTGATTAAAAGGATTTTGTTCAGTAAGCTGAAAAATCCTTTTTTCATTCCAAACTTAAACCTTAATTTTGTATTGTTTAATATTCGTATATTGGTTTACTTTTTTAGTTAAAATGCATCATTAGAAAGAGATATTCATTGTTTCTCACTCAAATTGAGAAATCAAAGCGCAGAGTTATTATCTAACATATGGCTTCAATTATAGTGATAGAATAATTTTTCCATTTTTGATGAAAGCAAATGGTTGAATCATGATTTTTTTATTTATTTAAACATGAGATCGTTCGTGTGTAAGTCGCTAATTCCTAATTATAAATGTATGATGGTTTGTGTAGCATTGTATTTGTACCTATATTGTATGTTTTGAATTTTGAAGAGAGTAATATATTCCTCATGGTTGACCTTATCAAAATAACACCAGAGAAACAGATTGACGAGCGTTCATAAAATTACTTTATTCCTTACCATTTAGTCTCATTGAAATTGTAGTTTCACGTCTTCACGCCAGTAGTGACAAATATAATATCGCAAACCCACAGCTCCAAGGGAACGATGGGCTGCTGCAAAGAGGGAGAACGTGGGTTCGTTCCTGGTTTAAACCAGACTGGATAAGTTCAGCCACCGGCATTTTCCTCGTCCAACCCAGGCGCTTGTCGGTACAGTATCTTGCAACATGGTTCTCCCTGCCCGATCCGTAGGTCACCTTAGTGCCATTAGTTAGATGCGAGTTGTAGCCAGATAGTACGTCATACTTAGAGGCAATGGATGAGGAATGCTTAGCCCCTTATGTTCCTTCCTCGAAGTGGGTTAGATTATTGTAAATTTCAGATTGTGTGAAAAATGACCTATCATTCTAAGTTGTTTAAAAATTGTATTAATGTAAAAATAAATACACGTAAGTGAGTTTTGAGATATTTATTTATCAGAAACGTAAATGAACTTTAGAAATATAAGATAGTTCAATATAAATAAAACTGAACTTGTGCTCTCAAGGAAATGTAATCGCGCATCGCATACGATCAAATGAGGGGAGTAAAACAACCTTTGCAACTGAATTAGCACTGTACTCTTGATCCAATTGTATCAATATCTTCGCATTTCGACAATGATGAGTACTTTAATTTCGCCAAAAAAAAATTATCATGAATATCTGACATGCAAAAATGCAAAACAATCTGGACTGCTGCAGTCATTAATCATATTGTTCCACGACACTAAAAGGCCGGTATGTCACTTAGCCGAACTGTGAAACCACCCTGCAGAGATTAGAGAGCAAGTATTGTATATCCTCGTTCACTCCACAATATTAATGTATTATTCATTTTTAAGTGATATTAACATTTCTGGAGAAAATCATTAGGAATAAAACATTTAGAAGCGGCCCAGAACTTCTCTCCAATGGCGTTCTCTTCATATTTTCGGAAGTTCACTTCGTTTCACGGTTAAGTAAATAGGGATCTCTTATTCCGACAGACACTTTACTAGAGGGTAGTGCATTTCTAAACCATGTTCAGTTTTTAAATAACTTTCCCTCAAATATAATAAATATACGTACGAATAAAAAGGAAAATTGCGAATTTGAAATTAAAAAATAAATGATTTTTCGAAATTGAAGATTCTAGTTAATTACTTCAGTTTCCCAAATATTCAATTCAACGCAACTATAACTTACCGTACTGTTTTTCTTACTCAGAATCTTAATGCACTTTAATTACGAAAAAATCCACCGTGAAACAAAACATCCTATGGATATAAAGAACGGCCGCGGAAAAATAAAAGTTGAATGTTTGACATGAAATGAAAATTACCCATGGAAGCTCCGGGAAATCTTTCCGTAAAATTTGAGAGGAAAATTACAATAGTCAGAAAAGCTCGAAGATTACTTGTCATTTCAAAATTCTGCCTTGCAAAGCGCATCGTATTTTACTGTTACAACGAACTATAATAATTTTGTAATAACCATAATAACTGAAGATAAACTAGGAATGCGTTGTCATCTTTACTTCTGATGATTTAGTGGTGAGATGAAATATATTAAGATTTTAAAGATATTATTGTATTTTTACAAATCGAAAAGTGAATATATAATTAATCTAATGAATAGATATCCCAATTAGTGAACAATATCAGATACTCTGTTTAAGTTCAAGTACTTAAATTCTAGCATTCCTGCATGAGTACACGGTGTATCAAAACTACACTAATAATGTTGTACAAAGAGCATGGTGGCAAATGTACAAATATTGCTTTGGTTGCTTCGAAACGACTGCATATTCTGTGTATATATTTATCAAAATAGATAACACATATATAATTAGTGATGTTAACACATGACGAAAAGACTTTGTAAATCCAACGAACGTAATGTGTGACTCTCGTTGTAACCACCCTTCTCCGAATGTTACTCTTAGGGCTTCAAAGATCCTGTGTATCGGAAGCGGCGAGAGCAGTTTTCAGACATCGCAAATTCCTACAAATAGTAAGTAATTAGCATGCATTTGCATCCATTGTCTTGTGATATTCTGTATTTAAAACACATGGAAAAAGAGAGAACCTAATATTTCGATGATAATGGTACTGTACATTTACACAAATAATATTATAATATAACTAAGCATTCCCCCCCCCCAAATTATTCAGTTTATTGATATTAAATTTGATTCGTTACTGAACTTACGAATAAAACGGAGTTATTCAGTTTTATTCGTTAGATGAGATTCAGTTGATTGATTTTCATAACGACTATGCAGTTAACAATAGTCATCCAGCGGAGGCAGCAATGTCACCACGTAAAGGCTTATAATTACAACATTTACTGCCTTTTACGTTTTGTTGAAATTCCCGCAAACTTCCACCAGCCCCTGTGGCGCCCAGCCTATCCGCGCCGCCTCCGAAAGCTCTCGATGCCTGAACGTCAACCCCAGACGCAGAGCCCCCTCGGCCGGGGACTCCGCTCAGTCGCGAAAACACCTCGCCTTCTCGTCTCCACAATACCCGCGCGCCGCGCCGGCCCGTCCGGTGGCGATTCGCCCCAATCCGTGCGCTCCTTGTGTGGAGGCGCGGGGCCGCGCCGTCCTCGCGGACAATCCCTTTCCTGAGGTGTATGGCTCGGGGACGGGACGGGGCGGGGCGGGGAGAGGCGGAAAGGGGCGAGGCGGGAAG